TCAGACCCACCATGGTTGGGCTGAGGTAAGCAAATTTATGAATATGGCACCTTTAGATGGTCGGAAATGGCACATCACAGACATAAAATTGTGAATATGATTTTCTTTTTATCTTCAGTTAAAAAATATGTTGACAAATTTAGTGGTGCCTCGGGCCGACAGCTCCAGGCCGGCAGCACTCCCCCCCCCCCCACCAACTCTTTATTCCGCCATTGGATATGATATGACTTCTACAGTCGATTTCAGACACACATGCTGTTGCCCTTGTGGGGCTGAGATAATAAAATGTATTATTATGGCACGTCTAGATGGCCGGAAATGGCACTCACAAAATTTAAATTGTGAATATAATTTTCTTTTTATCTGTGTTTTTATTGTATTTACTTTTTTTTTTACGAATTGGGTGGGGTCCTTGGCCAAGATGGGGCCCCGTCGGGCCAACGAGTCCCGTATCTTTAATCGTTATAATATGATATATGCCTACAGTCGATTTTCGAGACACATTGTGCTGATTTTTATCAACAAAGTCCTTTTTGGCCAAGGTACTAGATCAAGGAACCTATGGGTACAGCTCCTTTGGGTCCCCAAGAATTCGGGGGCCCTGCGGACCGCCACATGTGAGCGCATAGGCGTTAATACGCCACTGCTTCTGAAGTTTTTAATTATTTCTTTTAAACTTTATATTTCCTGTTGTAAAATATCACGACAATATCGGTTTTCGCATAGTTTAAAGAACGTTCTAAAAGTTTGTAAAAATCTAAAACTCCTCGCTCGGACGATTACGTTCCTTTTTCACAAATTATATCCTATTTATGACGACGCAAAATTCTAACACATGCGTAGAAACTACATAATTTTGGGCACGGCAATTCAGACTTGCCACGACAGGCTTACGAAAAGGTTAAATGCGGTGCCGCGAGTAGGCAAGTAGCGAGTAAGTGGTACACTACACTCAGAATAAGTTCTTTCAACGTTAGTATTAGAAGTATTTTAAAGATAATGTGCTGTTTAAAGGGCAGCCATTGAAGATATTTAAGTACAGAGGTATAGTGGAAACATTTTGGAGTTAAAGTGTACATGGGCAGCGTGATTTTGAATCATTTAATGGTGTTTTATAGAAGAATTTAGGAAGATTAAACAAAAGAGAGTTGCGATAGTCTAGCTGGACGTTTTTTTTTTTATCGATCAATTCAATTTTTATCTCGGAACAATTTGGATTAAGGTATTTACGAATTCTGCGTTTGTTACGGATGTGAAAATTAGCAGTCTGACACACAGAGCCAATATGCTCGCTGAAAGTTCAGTGCTCATCAAAAACAACACCAAAATTGTTAACAGTTGACAACGATTTATTTATTGTAGAACCAATTTTCAATTCCAGTTTAGGGACAAGAAAATTGGATAAAATAACGTGGAATTCAGTCGTGTTAGCATTTAATTTTAGCATTCTAAAATCAGCTGGGAGGATAGAAAAACCAATGACAGTGTCCTGAATGAAGTAAAAACGAGCATCGAAGCCTTCATTTAAAAAAAAAAGCCTAACTAATATGGAGTTGGATGATGGAATCTTCTATTCCCAACTTAAGAAATGCAAGTGTAAGTTAGGCGGACAAAAGAAAATAGCTAAAGACACCTTAAATGCAAATTTGAAAAAAATGTAACATTGATGGCAACAATTGGGAGATCAATGCTACAGAGAGAATCTTTTGGCGAACCATTACACGAGAATCCTTTGAAATCAACATCCTTTGAAATCAACAGTGTGCAGAGCTGAATGAGAAGAGAAGGAATGGAAAATAGAGGCAGCTGCGACTAAATATCGTTCTGCCTGCAGGAACTACCAGCCCTTAATGCCAAAGAACTTCTAAGGCCGGGATAAGTCACCTAAGAGTTCACCAACCAACTACCGGAACATAGACAATCATCATCGACTTCGAGGGATAGCCCATAGAAGAGTTGCAAGTAAACCAAATTGGATTTCAAAAATGCACTTTTTAAATTCATGAAATGTATGTGTATATTCAGACAAATGATTAAATGGAATATAAGTAACTTTCTGAAGGCCTTTTAGATAAATTGGATTTCAAAAATGCACTTTTTAAATTCATGAAATGTATGTGTATACTCAGACAAATCATTAAATGGAATATAAGTCTCTAACATTGCTAGTTGTAGTGATTTGATTGTCGTCCTATTTGCCAGAATATGCATTTATTTGCCTTAAGTGAAAATGTTGTCAATAAAATATTCTTGTATTATCATAGAATCATTTTGTTTGATGTTTTGTTTGAAATGTATGTGTATATTCAGACAAATGATTAAATGGGATATAAGTCTCTAACATTGCTGGTTGTAGTGATTTGATTGTCGTCCTAATTGCCAGAATATATATCTCTAATACTTTATTTTCCGATCTTTTACTCTGTCTATTGTAAAATAGAATCCCGAGAGACGGACCCTGATTTTTACATATGGATACAGTATATCTATTTGAGTGCATATTCAGAAAAAACGCATGAGTGCTTGCAAGTGTGTGAGATAATTAATGCGTTGTGAGTAAATACAATTTTAAAATTGTCATGTTTTCTTGTTGCAAAATATATGCTAAGAATAACGTTGTATTGTTAGCTGGATGTCGTGCGTTTAATTCAACAACATTCATACTTTTGGGGCTATAGAAAAACATACACTAATAGTAAAAAATTGTTTGCTCTGTGACATTTTTCTGTGATCAATATTCACGTGATACACACCAATTTTTTAACTTTCTGAAGGCCTTTTAGATAACCACAATTTATGACCTCCTTAGGGGCGAAGTAGATAACTTCTTCATTTAGGTAGACAAACGGTGTCAGAAATAGGGATAAAAGATTGTAGTTACTGCAGCGTAGACTGTGCCATCGTGATTGCAGGGCCGTTGCAGGGCCGTTGTTTATGTAAATAATAAGAAAGTCCGAGTGTATTCGTCCGTTTGATCACTTTTCGTAAAGCCATTACAACTTTCCTATGTCAAAACCGTTGGTCATAGAGACGTAAGTTTGGTATGCATGTTTCTATAGAGTGCTGCAGTGTTCGTCACGATACCATGTGATGCTACTCCGTTGCTATCGTTGCTAAAAGGGTTCTACCGGACGCCATTTTCTTCACTGACACACCATTGATCCCAAATTCTTACTTAATTATTAAGGTGTTATATCTTCCTTTTTCTTTGTAAATTTTAATTGATGATTAAATGTGTGATAATAATATAATGCGAGCTTTTTGTGTTTTAGTACATTTTGATGGTAAAATATTAGATTTTAAAATGCCTATTCCAGAAATCCAATGAAGACATTCAGGCGTGATGAACATTAACCAACGTCCGTTGACAACAGAGAGCGCCACCTGACGTCGTGACGACACGACTGTGGTACTCTATTGGCACTGATTTAATGCATTGACTACAAGTAGCAGGAAATGTCATTTCTGACCTTTGTCACTAAGGTAACATATCCATATCTCAATAACCGTTGGTCAGAGAGACCTACGTTTGGTCCCAAATTGCTTGGAACATACGTGTATCTATTTATTCTAATGCAAAATATTGTCTAAAGGTGATTGAAAATGACATTTCCGACCTTTAAGCTTAGGTAACTGGCATAACTTTGCCTCTATTTTTTATGGTTCCTTCTTGGTCAGTATTAGTTATTGTCTGTTAATTTTATGTATCTGAATTTGTTTTTGACAAAATAAAGATTTTTTGTGTATTTCTATATCAAAACATTCCGTACATGTAAATGTGTTTTAGTTAACAAAATTGATATTTTGACCTTTGACTTCTTCCCAAACTAAGAGACTTGATTATTGTCTCTGGAAATACCAGAATATGTATCTATTTACATTAACTGAAAATATTGTATATGAAATTACGAAAATGTTTGTTTTGATTTCTGACCTTTGTAATCTGGCCATAGATATTTTTTTTTTAATAAAATAAGAAAATGTTTCATCTACTTAGGATACTCCTGCTACTCTAATAATAATAATAATAATAATAATAATAATAATAATAATAACAATAATAATAATACACCCTTAGATATGTAAATGTTTTCCCCTAGTTTCCGATAGTTGATTCAATAAATATTAACAATAACAACATAACATTGAAGAAATTATGTATTGTGTTGCATACTATCTATTCTATAATGCAAGAACAATTTTCTGTGCGCTTCACATCGTAAAGTAAAAGCACAAAGAAATAAACAGAACAAAAAATACGAAAAAAAGGTGACACAGAGAAATGATTATGCAGAATCTACAAGGGGTCACGGTCATCTCACAAGCTAAATTATTGGATACACGTTTGCCCTGCCACAGGCGAAATGGTGCTTATGGATGGTGGCCAAGAAATTCAGTCAGTGCACAACTTCAGTCATCTCAAATAAAATCTTACAAAGTATAATGAAATACAGCCCTCTGATATGCACCCATGCAATACGGTATGGAATACCACAGTTGACCATTTATAGAACAACTGTAAATATTTAGAATAATGTCCCTTCTACTACCATTTAAATGCTGCTTTTTCTGTTAGTTGTTGTTCTAAAGCGCGTCATTATGTGTAAGAATTAATTTCCTGCCTTGTTTGAATCCCAATAATTTTCCTACAATATATGTTTACTTTTTTGTTTACAATTATGTTGTATAAAAAAGAATGAATTAGTATATTGATCAGATGGAACAAAATATGTTATAGGCCTACACGTCCTAAAATGAAAAGTACCATTATTGTATTACAGCAAAACGTTTACGATATACTGCATTATAATATACCGTACATGTTGGTGATAATAAAAGTACATCCTATCCATGTACATGACACAGTGTTATGTAGGCTTGAATTTTAACACCGACAATTTTTTTAAACCTATGCTCCAAAGTAGTCATCGTCAGATAATAATAGCAATTAGAAAATTGTCTACTATCTCGTTTTAGTAACATATATTATCTCTCTATAGGATAACATATTTGTGAGTGTTGTTAACCCTACGATGAAACATATTATTCGTTACTACAACAAGTCTAATCCTAGTAGAGTAGTGTTCCAACATATCTTTAGTAGCGAAATTCGTCTTTTAGATGTATACGTCAACGGTCCCAACATCCAACCAAAGCCAAAAACGTGTAAGTAATTGTTCGTCTTAGAATAAGCATGGAGGAACTAATTCCTCCATTGAATAAGCAATTGTAATACTGTTATAGTATTTAATAGCATTCAACATATGTCTGTTCTCTTCCAGTACCGTGTAATGTACATACATGTAGCCACCTTTGTGTATCAGCCGACAACGGAAAACACGAATGTGTCTGTAAAGATAACTATGTTTTATTTCCAAATGGATCATGCAGTATTGGTTTGTGTATCTTACTTATTTATTATTGAAAACATCTATAGCGCGAAGATATTTTGAAAATAGTTAAAAAACTCGCACCTCTTCTGTAACGACGGTAAACATTTGGTGAACCTGATGTCATTAATTAAAATTAAACATTTCAAATTAAAGATAAATTTTATTGTTCTCCAATATTTTCAAAAGCTATAAGAATTAAGAACTGGTCCTTATTTTACCACTCATATGTTTAGGACGGCTCGCAATTTCGAAATGTCTTACTTTGCTTTTGGTTTATGAAAATGTGCCTTTTTAACTAGCGTATTTTATTATTTCTTTTCAGATTCAACAATCTGGTACCCACCGCGCTGCATAATAGGTAGCACGGACGCCATTTCAATGTTTTACCCGAATTTAATTCATAGCTCTTTGGATGATAAACAACAATATATTAATCGCTTCTTACGTAGAACTAAAAAAATAATTACAGCTGTGACAGTTGACATATACAGTAATTTGTTGTTTTTTGCGGAAGATACGACAAAATCAATATCTGTTATAAGAATTGAAAAAGGCGCATATCCGAGAATAATTCACACTTACACTGGCGGTCGGGTTGATGGTAAATATTTGTGTTTATTATCATATTAACATCACAGTATACAAAGGAAGAATGTAAAAAGTGAAAAAGAAAATATTTCTTCTTATTTTGGTCAAAAAGTGCTTATACGTTTTCATTAATAGTTGATGCTTAACAACTTGGAATTATAGCAGGATATAGCAAGTACCTACGGATTTGAATTAGTGACAACAACCTCAATTATCAATGAGCAAGTGTTTTATTAATATATTATTGAATTCATCGTTGGCAAACTTCTGGCTTGGTACATCAATATTTATTACATTTTATTGAAAATTAGTGAGCTTTGATCGTAATACACAAACATAATTAAACAAATTCACACTTCCGTGACCGTCTTGCGTTCTCTACACAAGTGTTGGCTCAAATCACGTCCTATATTGTGATAATATAATATATAACGATAAAGCTTTTCACACAACCTCAATTTTTGCGGTTATTATTATTCATGCTTTACTTCTGATACACGTAGGCTAAATCAGTGCAAAGAAAGTATAACAATTAACTGCGATGACCATAGGCCTAGCACAAAACAGAAGAAAATATTTTCATTGATTCATTTATTTATTTATTTCAACAGTTCAAAAGGAGGGTGGTCCTTTGACCCAAAGCTAATCAATTGATACAATCTCATCACATAAAATATAAGACAATATGTAGTAGACTGTTGCTATTGTTTGCACCATTCTTCTAAACCTGATTAGATGTTATTGTAATCACATCTATCAGAATTTGTTTATGACTGGTGTAACAATAGCAACTACCATATACGCCTCCAAAAGTTCATTAGTTTCATCGCCAAAAAGGGAGAGAAAAAAGCAGAGAACAGATAAATTACACTGAAAAAAGGGAATAAGGGAAACTATAAGTTATCGCGAGAGCCTTCGATATCTTAAAACCCAATACACTATAGTTTATATTTTATTATATATCTAAATGTATACGCAGTGTTAAGGTGTGATTTTATTCAAGTTTAAACATTGTTTACACACTAGGTATGGCTGTTGACTGGATTTCGCTTAACGTTTACTGGGTTGACTATCTAAAAAATCTTCTAATGGTTTCATCGTATGACGGAATAGATCAATCAACACGGTTTTTTAACGTCATTAGGCCTAGGGCTATAGCAGTAGACCCAAATGCAAGGTAATTTTATTATTTAGCATAACCAACCTTTCTCGAATTTTAGGCATCTTTATTGAAAATATATTTGTGTTACTGTATGTAAATGGTCCATTTTGCTTGTCAAGGCCTAATCTTACTGATTATAACGTTATTATATTATATTTCTTACTTTAGACATGATGTAATAATTTTTGTTTCAACGATTTTATAATTAAAGGTGTATTTTTTCCTAAGAATAAAAAAAAAACTCTTATTTTAACTTTTAACAATAAATTCTGCTTAATAGTTGTTAAAAACTGTTCAGGATAATTATTTTTTAGGCCAAAACAGGTAGTACAGAACAAGGCATGGCCAGAAAACTGTTAAAGACATTTTTAGCTCATAAGTATCAAAGGTGTAATTATTCCAGAATACTTTTTAACTATTTTCAAAAGTATTTCAGCTTTACTGTACTCTTAATAATTGTATTTGTGATTACTGGACTATTGTTTTTAGATTGTTTACTATTGAAGTATGAAGTTGACGCCTTATGTGCTTGTATTGATTTTAGAGTTTAAGATTATCATGAATATATTATTATGAAAACGTAAATGTAAAAGAATCTCTACCATCAATCGTAAATTGTATAACGTTAAGGCGGGCTCAGGTTGACACGAAACTGAAAGGAACTCAACTCGTCGACTTGAGTGCTCTGTGCAACTGAAAGAGCTGAACGTAACTGAACGGAACTAAACTCATGTCGATTTTGAGCAACTGAAAGGAAATGAACGGAACTGAAAGGAACTTGACTCATGTCCACCGGCAACCAGGGGCGGATTTAGAGGGGGGCTTAACAGGCTTTATCTCCCCCTAAAATTTCATAGCCATTTCTTTTTAACTGCTTTTTGAATGTCCAAATTAAAATATATTGTTTAATGTTTTCTTCACACACATCATATTTATGGGCTAAACATTTTACAGTAGTTGTTTTTCAGTGATAAAATAAAAATGAAATACGTTTTTTAACCGATCAGCGGACAAAAAACGTAGCTAAGAAAGCTGCTTTTGCCT